CAAAGTCTTACTCTGTCACCCAGGCTGGAGTGCAGAGGCAAGATCACAGCTCACTATAGCCTCGACCTCCTGAGCTCAGGCAATCCTTCTCCCTCAGCCTCTCTAGTAGTGGGACCACAGGCATGTGCCAGCATGCCTGGCTAATTTTTTAAATTTTTTTGTAGAGATAAGGTCTCGCTCTTTTGCCCAGACTGGTCTTGAACTCCTGGGCTCAAGCAGTCCTCCCACCTTGGCCTCCTAAAGTGCTCACACCCTGAAGGCCTAAGCCACCAATGCCCAACCCTGGGATTGTTATTTGAAAGGTCATTAAGTAACCTTCAGGCAAAAAGCTCTAATGAGCTAATCAGGTGCTTTAGGATGGGGACAGCTGAGGTCACAGTGAAGACTAGCGGTTTTCTCTCTGTAACTTCCCTCCAGAATACATCAGCGGCAAGCAAGACCAAAAAAGATCTGAAAAACCAATGAGATTTGAAAATTAGCCTATGAATTTGTGGTTTATATTCTTACAAAATCCTTCCAGGTACACTGATGCACAAAAGACTGATTGGTCAATTGTCGAAGGTCCCACAACACAGCCCGGTGGTTCTCAATCTTAGCTGCAAATTAGGATCACCTGGGAGGCTTCTAAAAAGTTCCAGTACCAAGCAGGAAGCCAGACCAATGACCTCAAAATCTCTGGAGGTGGTGAACATTTATCATAATGCTATTAGAAAGGGATTGGCAGTAGCAGGACACTGCTGGGGGGGCACATAACATCAGTAAGGGTACCTGATCTCAAACCACGTGAAGTGAGGACCAAAGAGAGGCCCAAACTTTACCTGCATGATTACTTATGTACCTAATTTTGAATTGTACCCCACATCTTTAAAATAAAATAAAATAAAATCTTTGGAGGTGGGATCTAGAGACCACTATTTTTTTTTAAAGCTCCACTGGTGATCACAATAGAATTCCAAACCTGGTCTCCAGCCCAGCAGCATGAGCAGCACCTGGAAACACATTAGAAATGCAGATTCTCAGGCCCACTCCAGACCTACTAGGTCAGAAACTCTGGAAGGAAAGTCTATTAGTCTGCATTTTAACAAGGTGATTCTAAAACATGCTCAAGTTTGAGCACCAGTGCCTTAATTTTTGTTTGTTTTGTTTTCTGAGTCTCACTTTGTCGCCCAGGCTGGAGTACAGTGGCACCTCATAGCTACTGCAGCCTTGACCTGCTGGGCTCAGGTGATCCTTCCACCTCATCCTTCCAAGTAGCTGGAACTACAGGTGTGCACCACTATGCCCAGCTAGTTTTTTGATGTACTGTAGAGACAACGTCTCACCAAGTTGCCCAGGCTGGTCTCGAACCCATGGTCTCAGGCAGTCTTCTCGCCTTGGTCTCCTAAATGCTGGGATTACAGGCTTGAGTCACCACATGCACCAGTGCCTTAGAACAAGGCTGAGGATGGCTTAGGCCTGAGAGATTTTCAAAACAGACGTTTCTGGTTGCTTCCTATAGTCATAGAAAAGTCTAGTTTTAAGTAACAGGTCTTCTCAGTAAATTTCCAGTATGAATGAATTGTAGAAGTTACCATTAAATTAATTTTCTGCATGGAATTATTGGTTTTAAACCAATTAATATCTGGACTTTCAAATGATGCCCATCATAATTCTAGTCTCACATGGTCTTTTTTTTTTTTTGAGTCAGAGTCTTACTCTGACACCCTGACTGGAGTGCAGTGGCACACTCACGGCCACCGCAGCCTCAACCTGCTGGACTCAGGTGATCCTTCTGCCTCAGCCTTCCAAGTAGCTGGAACTACAGGCATGTGCCATCGTGCCCGGCTAATTTTTTTTTTTTTTTTTTTTAGTCAGAGTCTCACTCTGTTGCCCAGACTGGAGTACAGTGGCCGCTCCCGGCCACCGCAGCCTCGACCTGCTGGGCTCCAGTGATCCTTCCGCCTCAGCCTTCCAAGTAGCTGGAATTACAGGCATGCACTACCACACCCAGCTGATTTTTTTTTATTTATTGTAGAGATGAGGTCTCGCTTCCCAGGCGGGTCTCGAACCCGCGGGCTCAGACAATACACTTACCTCAGCCTCCCAAAGGCGCGGGATTACAGGTTGAGCCACCTATAATTTCTTAACGAGGTGAAAAACCCAATAAACTCATACCCAGGACCACTGAGTGGGAACCCACCTTATGCTGTGTTAGCCAGTCCATGCTCCTGGTCGGTGATCCAACAGTCGCAAGCATCAGTGGTGTTTCTCTCCATTTTACAAAGGGAAAAGTGTCAACTGAGCAGTTCTAAGGAACCCATCCAGGATCCTGTGGCCGGAAGTAGCAGGGCCGGAATTCAAATCTGGGCCGGAATTCTTACCTTGTGGATAAATCAGCATCGCTGGGTGTTGGAATTCCAAAGTCTGAACTCTTACTGCTTTTCATTCCTGCTCTCTGAGCCTGGGGTTCTGGGTGGGAAGTGACTGCCCTTCTCGAAAAGGAAGTGAGTTACAGGTCTGAAGCCAGTACATTGGCATCTGTTCAATAGAGTAAGCAGGTTATAAAGAATCATGTTTCACTCATTAAAAGGTATTAGGTTCTGGTGGGATCTATCATGGAAAACACCCATGTTGCTGTGTGCCTGGTACTGGGCTAGGTAGGATGGGGGACATGGGGTGAGGCGAGGGGCCTAGAGAGAGATCATGACCATGAACTTGGTGAAGTTGGCAGGGGTCATAGTATGGGTGTGTTGCTAACCCGGCCCCATGCATCAGAAAGGGCTTCAGGAAAGAGGTAAGAGCTGAGATGAATTTCTATTTTATTTCCTTTTTTGTAGAGACAAGGTCTCTCTGTGTTGCCCAGGCAGATCTCAACCTCCTGACTTTAAGCAATCCTTCCGCCTTGGCCTCCCAAAGTGCCGGAATTACAGGTGTGAGCCACCACACCCAGCCTGAGTTGAATTTTAAAGCATGAGTAGGCACCGTTTAGGAGTTTCATGGGCCAAGCAGAAGGAACAGTCCCTGCTGGAGATGGAGACATACAATGTGTGCCGGGGTCAGCAAAAGGCCAACAGGGATGGAACACAGAGTCTGGGCACAGGGACAACTGTAGGGCAGGAGAAGGAAGCAAGGACTCGCGGATGTAGGGCCTGTATCCCTGTGGAAGACCAGGAGTTTCCTCTTGAAAGTGAGGAGGAGCAGAGGAAGGCCTCCGAGCTGGGAACCAGCATGATGAGATTGAAGTGAGGGTGACTGGGTTTCCTGGTGGATGATTAAGGCCTGGGACAAGCTCTAATGGGACGGGGTGAGGCCTTGAGTTTGAGGAGATGGGGATGGCCAAAGGGAAATAACTCCTTGGCAGGTCATTGGATACATAGCTCTGGCACTTAGAAGGGAAGCCTGGGCCATGGCCATGCAGGTGAGCCTGAAGGAGCAGGTATAGCCACCCAGGGAGAGAGTCGAGTAAGAAGAGGGCCGAAGTTAGAATTCTGAAGTGCGTCCTTCAGAGAAAGATGGGTGCCAAATGTCTTCACCTGGTCCTGGGTTCAGGGTACATTTTAAAATTAAGCCGGTTCAATGAAGAAGTTTAATCAAGGTCTAATTAGAGAGCAGCCAGGTTTCTGAGGTTGACATTTGTCCTATGCAAGATGATGTGTGATGTCACAGTCCCTATCCTGGCTGGGAAAGACTGAACCTCCCTGGTACGTATTGAAATTTCTCTTTCCATAGCAATTCTGGCCAGAAACTGTGTCCCCCCAAACACCCTTCACTTCTAGTTATAACAGTCATCCAAGGGTGCCTCAAGGGTACCTCAACTACTTTGAAGTTCCTAAGAAATGAATTGACCACTATGTCTGATAAGTTCCCAGTGGCCCCTTCTGGGTTGAGTTTGGAATATGACTTCAACAACTCGCCTTGGGGCATTTGTTTCCCAGCAGAGACTGGGGATAGAGGCTGGCAATTTGCTGAAACAGAAAGATGAATAAAACATGCTTTAGTTTACCAGTGCTCTCAAGGCCACCTGGATTGGGGGCTTTCAAAGCATACAAACCCTTGACAGAATTCCACAGCTGCTTAGAGACAGCTTTTCCAATTCCCAGGCTCATTATGAGTATTCAGGGACAGCGATGTTAAGATTAAAGTTATGAGGGAAATGTCACTTTCTGCATGGCCAGGCTAACCATTCAGGGAGGGCAGGGGGCAGACAAACAAAACACAAGCTATATAGCACTGGTCCTTTAGAGGGAAGCTCGATATGAAAACTCCCCAGTCACTCCAAAATTCGGCCATGTGATAGGGTAGGTTTTCCATTCAAATGAAGACAGCTGTCCCCGGAGAAATGTTCTGTGATGAGATAGACCACCCTTTGCACATTATCTTCAAGGACACACTGATAGCACCCGATCTGACTGGTCACATAAGTCCTCGGGAACTAAGTTGTATAAAATGTATGATTTTTTTTCAGGTCCATAGGAGGTCAAGAATGAGGATGCTTGTCTCCGCTTTGTTTAGGGAGCTTGTGACCACAGTAGTGTCCACCTCTGGGAGAATGGGCAGAGAAAAGAAGTGGGTGTTCACCATGGGTTGAACACACGCAGCCACTGGAAGTTAGGGAACACACACACCCAGCACTGTGAGTGAGCTATAAAAACACAGTACTGAGGAATGAAGGAAAGAAATATACAGCCTCAGAATCATTCACGTAAACTAAAATGCACCCATATAACCTCATACGACAACAATATGCAACAAGGCATATTAAAGGAACTAATTCCAGTGGTCATCTATGGGGGAGGAGAGTGGGAGTGGTGAATGTAAATAAAAGGGAATCAATGTATCAATATGGCATATGCCATGGACTGGGGCATATGTGAGCTCACCCCGTCACCTAAGATTTTTTTTAAAAAATTTTGTGTATGTGTGTGTATGTGTGAGCTTTAACCAAGATGGACTTTTTGATTTGGGCTTGCCTTTTTCTTTTAAGAGGCTTGCCTGGGAAGTTCGCTCTTCAGCGTGGAACCTTGATGCCCAGGATGATCTTGTCTAATGCCACAGTGATGATACCCTTTTTGACCAGACTTTGGCAGGAGACGGTTCAACAGGGTAGGAACACATCTAGCCTGGCCCGCAGGTCCCCCCACGGAGATGACAGCAAGTTGGAGGCCCTCTATGTTCTCATGGTGCTTGGCTTCTTTGGCTTCTTCACCCTGGGCATCATGCTGAGTTACATCCGCTCCAAGAAACTGGAGCACTCACATGACCCATTCAATGTGTACATCGAGTCAGATGCCTGGCAAGAGAAGGACAAGGCCTATGTCCAGGCTCGGGTTCTGGAGAGCTACAGAGCATGCTATGTCGTCGAAAACCAACTGGCCGTAGAACAACCCAACACATACCTTCCTGTGGCAAAACCTTCACCATGAACCCTACAACTGGCTAAAACTGAGGAATCCTACCTGATGACCTGATTTTTTAAATTACATGGCTCTCATATTCTTTATTATAGGAATACCACTGGATTTTTTTTTCTATGTAAAGGGCGAGGGTTGAATTAGTCATACTTTTTCTAAAATCACATTCCTTCTATAATAGACTGTCAGTTGTTTCCCCCAGTAGCTGTCCCTGCCTTGTTAAATTTAGCAGACTCCCTGAGGATGTGGCATCTGAGAGTATGAGCTGTGTTTCCCAGACTCCCTTGCAGCTAGCAAGGTCATGTGACTGAGTCCTGGCCAGAAGACATGGAAATGATGACTGCAATTTTCAAGTAATTTCCTGAAAAATGCAAGGACGTAATTATGAACTTTGCAGCAACTTGGATAGATTTAAAGTCTGTAATACTCAGTGATCTACCACAGAAGCAAAGAATTGAATACCACATGTTCTCACTCATAAGCAGACCCTGAACAATTATCATAATACTATAAGAAAGGGATTGGCAGTAATGGGAAACTGCTAGGGGAGGAACGGGGTTGGGGGAAGGCATACTTCATCAATAAGGGAACCTGATCTCAAACCAGATGATGTGGGGGCCAAAGTGAGGCCTAAACTTTATCTGTACAAGGACCATTTGTATACCTAACCCTGAATTGTACCCCACATCTTTAAAATAAATTTTTTTTAAAAAATGCAAGGACATGTCCTTCACTTCCCTTATCTCTCTTCCTGGTGGCTGTGATGTGGATGAGGTGGTGAGCAGCCTTGACTCTAAGAAGATTGTCCTCACTGATGGCGGAACCATGAGAGTCTGGGCCTGGGTGACATCATTGAGAAGGACTCCCTAACTTCCTGGACCACCCAAAAGGTCAGATTCATAGGAAAGAGAAGTTAATTCCACTCTTCCTTAAGCCACTGTTATTGTGGACTCTGTTAAAGCAGCAGAATCAATATCCTTACTAATGCACCTACCTTGTAGGACTCAACTCAAAGGCATGACATTCTCATATTTTTCACAAGCACACACCAATTCTGTCCTTGTCATTTCTACACTCACTGTGGCTCTGTCCTCCTCTTGCCCTCCCACCTCCCACTCCTTCCTTATGGCCACTCTTCACACAGCTCCCCCACACATACACACACTTCCCACTCACACATCTCAGTCTAGAAGGATCTTGCCTCCTACAGGGCTGAGATGGAGGAGAAAAAACTGGTCCCTTCAAAATGTATGCCAAGGGGAAGGTGCTTAGTCACCATGAGAAGAGGGAGAGGTGCCCCCATCTTGCCCCAAAAACCCAGGGGAAGGCTTAGGTATAGATAGCGGAGACATGCGGCACTGAGATGGCAGGACCTGCTTTGTGGGTTGAATTGTAGTCCCCAAAGGATGTTGGAGTCCTAACTCCCAGGACCTGTGAATGTGACCTTATGTGGAAATAGGGTCTTCCCAGATGATCAAGTTAAGATGAGATCATTAGGGTAGGGCCTAATCCGATATAATTGGTGTCCTTATCAGAAGAGGGAAACTTGGACACAGACATTTGGGGAGAATGCTGGGTGATGACAGAGGCAGAAGGTGGAGGGATTCCACCACAAGCCACGGAATGCCACCGATGGATAGCCACTGCCAGAAGCTAGGAAAGGTGAGGAAGACTCCTCCCCTACAGGTTTTCAGAGGAATCATGGCCCTGCTAGCATTCAGACTTCTGGCCTCCAGAACTGTGGGACAGAGGACATCTGTGGTTCAAGCCACCCAGTTCGAGATACTTTGTCGTGACAACTCTTAACAAACTCATGCAGCACCTTTCACCCACCCCAGAAATGGAGTTGCTATGCCTCTAGCATGGCACCTAGAGTAGCTGCTGACAATGGGTAGAGAAGACCCCTGATAGTGAGACCCACCCCGAGAGGTCTGCAGAACCAACACTCTGGATTCTGGCCTTCTACTCTGGCTGCTGTCTATAGTGCCAGGGCCCTCTGCAACACGACATCCTGAGAGCTCGGCTGCCTGGGCATTCCCGAAGAGTAGGGATATTTAAATAAAACATAATTTTAAAAACCTGCATGAAACGCAAATTAAAAGCAGTACATATGCACCATTGGCCGTCCTCAAATGGACAGATTTGGTCAAGTTCGATTCCAGTCCTCATTTTACGTAATAAAGAGGGATTCCTGTGTGTGCGCTTAGAGGAATCTCTGGGACAGAGCCCTGGCATGGGTCAGCCTTTGAATTACCACAGTCCTCAAGATCAGTGGTTCTTTGAGTCACAGAGTCCTTCAAAAATCCAGTGAAAGCCATGATCCTTCTCCCACCTGACTAGTGCACTTAGACCCCACATCTTGTCTACTGTCCCAGGGGTTCAAGGGCCACTGGCAGCCAGTGATGACTGCTGGCATCTCATCACCCCTCTATAAGGCAGAGCCTGCTTTAGGCAGATGAATATTCCCCAGATTGAGGGCAGGGCAGGGTTGGAGAGGGTCCCAGAGCCCACGTGTCCTGCAATGTGACCCCCAGCACAGGACTTTGATATTTCAGGCACACAGACTGGCTGTTTACCAACACTTCACTCTCCCCAACTAAGATTCTTATGCCTTTTAAGGCAGAGGGAGATCCTGGGGGCTTTACTACTCCCTGTCCTTCAAGGACATTTATCTGCACCTGCAAACTTCTAACTGCCTTTTCCTGCCCCTTCCCCTTGGTTTGAATGGGGGAGGGGAAAAGTGGAGAGTTGGTGAATTGGGCCACAAATGTTCAGATGTGTGTTGCTATATTTTAAAATTCAGTCTCACATACATAGGCTTAATATGTACTGTTCTATGGTCTTTAAAAATAGAATCTCAATTATCATTTTGCATGCAATATTTTGTGCATTCATTAGCTAGGCCAACAACGCTTTTTTGTGGTATTAATAAGATTTACAAAAAATTAAAGCCATTTATCATGATCTGCAGTGTGTTTTCTCTTGATATTACTGTGATACTTTTAGAAGATGGATATCAGTTCTTGGGGGGGCTCTGATGAGGCCATCCCAGGGGCTTGGGAATAAGAAAAATAAGATTGCATATGGATAATTAAATTTGCCATCAACAACACACAGAGTGTCAGAATGAGAGAGTTGGGCCCCTCAGATACCAGCAGATAGGAAGCAAGTGAGTCAACCAAGCCCTAGATGAGGATAACGGCAAATTGTAGAGTCCTCTCCCCTCGTAAGGAAAGGATGTTGTCAACTGGCATTTACAATATCAAGGGATTTCTGAATATTGAAAGAGAAGCCATGAAATCTCCTGATACTTACATGTTGACAAATAACTTGATTTTTAAACTTGTGTTGGCCAAACAAAATATGACCTCAAATAGGATTCTGCTCGAAGACCACCAATTAACAACTCTAAAGAGAAAGACTAGCTCCCAGTCAGCCAGGCCACACCTGATAGAATAAACAGTCAGAGAGGGGTCCTTGTCTGGCCACAGTGGCCAGAGCAGACACTTCCTCAAGTGTGGCCCTGGGCCAAAGAACTCCAAAGTCCCAGCCTCATGACGAAATGCTACGTGGGGCTATCCTCCCCTGACACCATGAGAACACCCATTCATCTGACTCTCCCATCCAGGCCCCTCCCTCACTGTCTGTCACTGTAAGAGAGGACATCACAACTCTGATTTTACTCTTCCTGCACTTGAGACCAGTTATAGGGAGTCTGCCCTGGAAAGATGGATCCTCCTTATGTGCAAACGAATTAGGCCTCAGAGCCTCCCACAGGGCCAAGGACTGACGTGGACTGGCATCAATGAATGTCATCTGGCCTCACTTCCCTTAGACCCCCTGGCCTGGCTGGATGAACGGCTTTTAACTTCTTCAGAATAGATTTGTCCAGTGCAAATTCCCTGGACATTGGCTTTGAAGAGTTTCATGGAAGTTAACTAGACACATGTAGGGGTAACAGGCTCAGTGAGGTTTGGGGACACACCCAAAGTCATCGATTGCTTCAAGGAGGAAGCCAGGAGGCATCCTGCTCCCCCATATTCAAGCCCTTACCCTCCTCCAGCTGCCTTACCACATCAAGAGCTCTGGGAGGCAGGAAGGGATGACCAGGACGTGCTCAAATAGGTCACCACATTGGCCACAAGAGCAAAGACAGCATCTTCGAGTAAGATGGGGACTGTACATTTTCTGATTTTATTTTTGCCTTTACACTGACTCAAGTCAATACTTTTTTGAAATGATGATATTATTTAGTAACACTAGCTAACTTATCCTCCAAAATGACCCTAAAATCATCTGCACTGTGTACCCAGATGTCTGCTTAGAGAGACATAAAGTAACCCAGCACATGAACAAGACCATTAAAAAAAAAAAATTAGTGGGCAACCCTGTCAGGCTCACTTCCACTTTGGGAACTTTTCTGTCCTCTCAATAAATCCTGCTTTCTCCAAAAAAAAATTTTTTTTAATTAAAAATAAATAAATTAGAAAGCAAAGTGAGCCAAAAAAAGAGACAAGTTGCAAATGATGAGAATAGGATTTGAAATATTGCCTTTGCACTTGGCTCTGAACTTGGGCTTCTCTTGGGATACTATTGTAATTCAGTAGTAGCCACAATGAGAGTTAGAAATCATCTGATAGGTGGAGAAAATTGTAATGGATTCCATCACCTTTCCATCTCCAGGCAAAGCTGTGTAAATGTCAGGACATTTAGGGCAATTGACCCCTTGAGTGCCTTGGTCCATCTGTCTACCTGAGGTCAGTAAAGCGGTAGCCAAGTGTCACAGATATTTCCAAAAATACTGAAATGTGTCTTGCCTGTATGTGCAGTGGAAGGAACTCTAGGTGCGGCTGCCCCCTGGTGGTCACTTTGAGGCTATTTCTCAATGCTCAGGGAACCCTAAGGACAAGTGGTCAGGCAGGTGATTGCTGGGGCTGGGGGAGGTAACCTGAGTGGTTTTAGATGCCCTTGGGAGGCTAAATGTCTATTCAGTCGTCAAGTTTGAGGAAGCAGGACTCGCTGTGGCCACTATTATAAATGGAGGATGAATGTCAAGAAATATGGAAATTTTTTTTTAAGTATATTGTGAGGAACTCTTTTGAACAGGGACCCTGGTGTCACAGCTCAAATTCTCTGGAAGTTTCTGGGACCTCTCCTCCCTTATCCCAGGAATAACTCCTTTTTTTTTTTTTTTTTTGAGTCAGAATCTCACTCTGAAGCCCAGGCTGGAGTGCAGTGGCACGCTCACAGCCACTGCAGCCTTGACCTACTGGGCTCAGGCGATCCTTCCACCTCAGCCTTCCAAGTAGCTGGAACCACAGGCATGCGCCACGATGCCCAGCTAATTTTTTTTTATTTATTGTAGAGACAAAGTCTTACCAAGTTGCCCAGGCTGGTCTCAAACC